GGATAACAGGCGTTAGCCACTGCACCTGGCAAAATGTTGTTTTGTTTAAGGAATAGTAGCTGACTTTTGATTTGGCCTGATTTGTATTTGGTTTGTTCAATAATTAAGATGCGGGCCGGGCACGGTGGCTCATGCCTATAATCCCAGCACTTTGGGAGGCAGAGGTGGGCGGACCACCTGAGGTTGGGAGATCAAGACAATCCTGGCTAACATGGTGAAACCCTGTCTCTAGTAAAAATGCAAAAAATTAGCCAGGCGTGGTGAAATATGCCTGTGATCCCAGCTACTAAGGAGGCTGAGGCAGGAGAATCGCTTGAACCCAGGAGGTGGAGGTTGTGGTGAGCCCAGATCACGCCATTGCACTCCAGCCTGGGCAACAAGAGCGAAACTCCATCTAAAAATAAATAAATAAATAAGATGCAGATAATATTTAAAACACTTTGGCTTTCTTTGCAAATAAATACCTTTATATATATATATATATATAAACATAAAAATAATAACTTCTTTGATCTAAGCACTAAACAATCATTAAGCAATTAGTTAGCATTAAAGCCTGGATAGATGAGAAGTGGGCCAAGAAAAGATCCATTTCACCTCAACAGTACAGCATAATGGTTTAGTCAACATAATGTTGAAACCATTCACAACTATTTCAGGGCTTTGGTGAATGATGCTGCTACTGTGGTTCAGAGAAAGACACTGACAGCAACAAAATATCACTGTGCAACTACTGAAGTGATAGTGAATGAATGAATAGGCTTTACAATAATACTTCTTTTTCTTTGCTTTTCCTGTTCCTCTCAATTAACCATGTTAAAACTACATCTGAAAACTAGACTCGCTCAAACAGGTAAGTAATAACTCAAATCACCACTACTTTTTTCTAATGTCAAAAGATAGTAGATATATTCCAGGTATACTAGAATATACCTAGCCTTTTTTTTTTTTTTTTTGAGACAGAGTCTTACTCTGTCGCCCAGGCTGGAGTGCAGTGGCACGATCTCGGCTCACTGAAACCTCCACCTCCTGAGTTCACACCATTCTCTTGCCTCAGCCTCCCAAGTAGCTGGGATTATAGGCATGGGAAACCACACCCGGCTAGTTTGGTATTTTTAGTAGAGATGGGGTTTCATCATGTTAGTCACACTGGTCTTGAACTCCTGACCTCAGGTGATCCACCTGTGTTGGCCTCCCAAAGTGCTGGGATTACAGGCGTGAACCACCGCGCCCCGCCAAGACCTAGCATTTAAAAGTGATACACCTAGGCTAACAGCTGCCAAATACTTACATCAAATCTCACAAAGTAAAGCTTCTAACACTTCCTCCCAAAATATCAGCCTTTAAAATTAAAATTACATATTCTGATTAAGAGTAACTCTATTTCTAAAATTTTTAAATGTGAAAAATAACATGTATGATTGATGGCCTAAGGTTTTTGGTACCATTCTTTAAGAAAAGTGTCTTCGACCAGCCTGGCCAACATGCTGAAACCCCGTCTCTACTAAAAATACAAAAATTAGCCAAGCATGGTGGCACACACCTGTAATCCCAGCTACTCGGGAGGCTGAGGCAGGAGAATTGCTTGGACCTGGGAGGCAGAGGTTGCAGTGAGCCAAGATCACACCATTGCACTCCAGCCTGGGCATCAGAGTGAGACTCGATCTCAAAAAAAGAAAAAATAAGTGTCTTCCTGTGGCTGACCATGGTGGCCATCACCTGTAGTCTCAACTACTCTGCAGGCTGAGGTAGGAGGAATCACTTGAGCCCAACAGGTCGAGGCTGTGGTACGCTATGATCATTCCTGTGAACAGCTACTGAACTCTAGCCTGGGCAACATAGTGAGGACCCATCTCTTTAAAAACAAACAAACAAAAAAACGGCCAGGCGCAGTGGCTCACGCCTGTAATCCCAGCACTGTAGGAGGCTGAGTCGGGCGGAACACGAGGTCAGGATTTCAAGAGCAGCCTGGCCAACATGGTGAAACTCTGTCTCAACTAAAAATATAAAAAATTAGCTGGGCGTGGTGGCACATGCCTGTGTCCCCAGCTACTCGGGAGGTTGGGGCAGGAGAATCGCTTGAACCCAGGAGGCAGAGGTTGCAGTGAGCCAAGATCGCGCCACCACACTCCAGCCCAGAAGACTCTGTCTTGAAAGAAAGAAAAGAAAAGAAAAGAAAAGAAAAGAAAAGAAAAGAAAAGAAAGAAAAGAAAGAAAAGAAAGAAAGAAAGGAAAAAGGAAAGAAAGGTTTCTTTCTCAAAAACTAATGCTTTCTCTTATGTCAAGTTGCTCACTAAAATCAGAAAACTCTAGCACATACATATAGTTTTACCAACTTTCTTATTGCTTTCTACAGAACGTGGATCATAAGTTTTCTAACAAATTTTGAATCCTTTCATGTATTCCTAAATAATACTGTTAATGTTTTTATTTATTTATTTATTTTTTTGAGACGGAGTCTCTCTCTGTTGCGCAGGCTGGAGTGCAGTGGCACGATCTTGGCTCACTGCAACCTCCGCCTCCCGGCTTTAAGCAATTCTCCTGCCTCAGCCTCCTGAGTAGCTGGGACTACAGGCGCACACCACCACGCCCAAATAATTTTTGTATTTTTAGTAGAGACAGGGTTTCACCATGTTGGCCAGGATTGTCTCTATCTCGACATCGTGATCCTCCCGCCTTGGGCTCCCAAAGTGCTGGGATTACAGGCGTGAGTCAGAACACCCGGCCCAAGTAATACTGCTAATGATTTAACCTACACGTCCTAAAGATGACATATTATTTGTATGTATAACACTTCTATTTAGATTTGTGTGTGTGTGTGTGTAAGACAGTCTCACTCTATCACCCAGGTTAGAATGCAGTGGTGCGATCTCAGCTCACTGCAACTTCCATCTTCTGGGTTCAAGTGATTCTCCTGCATTAGCCTCTCTAGCAGCTGGGATTACAGGAATCCACCACCACACCCAGCTAATATTTGTATTTTTAGTAGAGATGGGATTTCACCATGTTAGGCAGGCTGGTCTCCAACTCCTGACCTGAGGTGATCCACCTGCCTCAGTCTCCCAAAGTGCTGGGATTACAGATGTGAGCCATCATAACCAGCCTATTTAGATGTTTTACACACTAACGATATTCAAAATATTGATCCTATATTCAAAAATAAATCCAAAACATAGACTCTATTTTTTAAAAAATTAGTATTAAAAGTTATTATACTATAAAACTATTTCATGGCCAAGCAAGGTGGCTCACACCTGTAATCCCTGCACTTTGGGAGGCTGAGACAGATCACCTGAGGTCAGGAATTCGAGACCAGCTTGGCCAACATGGTAAAACCTCATCTCTACTAAAAATACAAAAAAAAAAAATTAGTCAGGCGTGGTGACATGTGCCTTTAGTCGCAGCTACTTGGGAGGCTGAAGTGGGAGAATCTCCTGAACCCGGGAGGCGGAAGTTGCAGTGAGCCAAGATCACGGCACTGAACTCCAGCCTCGGTGACAGAGCGAGACGCTGTCTCAAAGCAACAACAACAACAAACTATTTCATCATATATTTGAGGATCTGGTTTTTTAAGCAAGTCGTCTACTCACTTTCCCTACCTTGCTCCAAAGGCATAAGCAGGAATCATATGTTAAATAACACCTTCCTGAACTTTGTCAAGGAAGTCCGTGAAAAATACAGATTAAGATATAGTTACAAATAAAAATTAAAATTTACAACTGCAAATCAAAAAGTAAACTATGGCTGGCTAAGCTTACCCCTAAATTCTAATTCTAAAGGAAGATTTCTCCAAACAGCAGGTGGATGAAATTTCAATGAACATCAAAGAACGCTACAGAAGAGGGTAAAAAATGTGTTAACTTTCCTTGGGAGTCCATCATGGTGACCCTGAGGGGTTACTAAGAATGAAATAATGATTTAGAATAGAATGCTTCGAAACAGCAATGGCAGAGTATTAACAAATGTATTAACACTTTAAAACAAACAATCCAGTTGTCCCCGGCCCACTTTCTTATTTTAGTCCTAGCACATGAGTCACATAACTTGCAGAGTGATAATAAGAAGTCCCCGCTGTTGTGTCCTCATGTCAGTGACAGAGGTAACTCTCCTTTATTATATTTTCAAAAGGTGAAATGTATGAAATTTCTGGGTGGGGGGAGATACCAAATGTCTGTGTGCCTATAGTTATTAATAAGTTAACTACCAAGTAATTACGGAATAAATAATGCTTAAAAAGAGGGCAAAGATTAGGCTTTAGGGTAACAATAATTGGACCCTCCCCAGATAATTCTAATTCATTGAACGCTTGCATAACTCGAAGTTGAGAAAAAATTTTTGAGGAAATATCTCGAGTACTAGAAGTTAGTCCAATGCAAAGTACAAGTACTACTAAAAAGGATCCGGCCCTTTCCACTACTCATATCTTAATGTAATGCATAAAGGGAGCGAAGACTGCGAGTGCCCAAAAAAATGCAGAAACCTGACCTTGCCCACAAGTCGAATAGTTCTGCACCCCTCCCCCAGCTTCCCCGGGAGCCGGTTCACGCAATCCCAATTGGTCAGTCTGCTTATTCCAGCACCTGCCTGGCAGTGACAAGGGAATCTCCAGGCGAAGACAAGAAGGTCTGAAAGGAGGCGGCCTGGGAAACTGTGAGGCCCAGAAGGACAGGGTTGGAAAAGGAAAACGAGAGAACCTTCGAAGGGATGAGGTCGGGCGATTAGGGGCTAATGGGAACATGGCTTGGGAGGACGGCTGGGGAACAGGGAAAGGAGATCTCTGGAGGGCCCAGGTGAGGTGACAGGATGAGGGCCGCCGGCGGGCAGCCAAAAGAGAAGAGCGAAGGGGCTGGAAGGCCTAGAAACACACGCGGAGAGAGGCGAGAGGAGCTGTGAGGCGCGAGAAGGGCCCAGGCTGCAAAGATTAGGGCTGCAGGGGCGACAGGGGCTGCAGGGGCAGGGAGGGCAGGGACTCAGGGGCCGGCCCTAGGGTGCGGACTCACGTTCTCCCACCAGCAGGATCCGCACGTCTTTCTTCATGTCGGCGGCTCTCGGGGGCCGGCCTCCGCCCGCACGCATGGAGTGGACTCCTCTCACCGGGAGCGCCCACCCCACGGCGCCACCTGCCAGCCTCTTCGGCCGCCGGGGCCCGCCGCGCCGCCCCCTCAGTTGCTTCCCTGCAAGAGAGCTGGGACAGCACCAGCTCCGCCTCCTCCGGCCCAGCGGGCGGCGGCGGCGGCGGCGGGGACGACGGCACGCGGTGAGGGACACGCGCTTTCGGAACGCGAACGCTCTCCGCGCCGGAACAGCGTTCCCGCGGCCAGGCAGCCGCAGCGCAGGCCCAGGGAGCCTCACCCACCCTCCTCTGGGCACCGCGACCCGGGAGACGTTTGGGCCTGGAATTTGAATGGCGGATTCCCTGGTTTAACCCCATTTATTTTATAGACAAGGACAGAAATTCCCTGTTCAAAGTCACATAGCTAGAGCTTGGCAGTGACTCAGAGCAGGGATCTTCTCACCAGACTCTAAACTCTGGGAGAGCAGCAATCTGCTTACATGGTTTTCAGTTGCGTCCCCACGTTATTGGACAGAGCCCTCAGAAAATGCTTGATCGAATAGGGCGACTGGCTCCCAGGATCTGGTTCTTTCCACTTTCGAAAGCCCGTCACCCTAGTTGTTTTTGCCTGTGATGCTTGTAAAATACGATTATAAGATTCGTGTTTATGCTGTGTGAACAGACTCCTTTCTTTATAACCAAATAAGTGACTTTTTTTTCTGTCTATGTAGTTTATTTTATGGCAGGGTTTTCGGATACTCTACTCAGGCTTACCCGGCGTAATGCTAGACACGGAGGTGGCACTGGATAATAAACTCTAAATGATTTTTCTAACATTGCCTTAATTTTCTCTTGACCCTTTCCATCTGAAGGAATTTGTTGCTACATGCTTAATGTTTGGTACACGATGAGAAATATATATATATATACACACACACACACACACACGCCCGTGCGAATATGCGTCACATCCCTAATGCTTGGCACACAGTGGGAAATATAAAACACATAAATTAATGAGAAGGCACTATCTGTGCATAATGTACCTTTTTCCTATCTTAAATATTACATAATGAACATTTAAAGGGAATGAAATGTGCCTAATACCAATCTCCCTTTCTCCTAGGAGAAGTCACGTGGTCTCTTGCAGCAGTTAAGAGTTGCTGGCAAATTTCCTGGGTTTGAATCTCGGCTCCACATAATAGCTCTGTGATCCTGAGTAAGTGCTTTTATTTTTACTTCTCTCAGCCACTGTTTCTTCTTCTGTAGCATGGAAATAATGATAATAATACCTTCCTCTTGAGATGGTTGTTAGTAATAAATACCATAATACTTGTCAAGCAGTTGATACAGTGCCAGACTCAGAGTGTGTGCCCTACTGATCTCAGCTATCATTATTATCATATTAAAAAGTTATTAAAAAGTTTTAATCCACAGGTTTTTTTGTTTTTTGTTTTTTGTTTTTTTTGAGACTGAGTCTTGCTCTGTTGCCCAGACTGGTGTGCAGTGGCGCCATCTCGGCTCACTGCAAGCTCCGCCTCCCGGGTTCATGCCATTCTCCCGCCTCAGCCTCCCAAGTAGCTGGACTGCAGGTGCCCGCCACCACACCCGGCTAATTTTTTTGTATTTTTAGTAGAGACGGGGTTTCACCATGTTAGCCAGGATGGTCTCGATCTCCTGAATGGAAATGTGAAATTCAGGAGGCTTGGTTACCTGATCTTTCAGGGAAAAGTAGCCCTCAGAATTTTAGTGTTACAAAATGTTTGAGTTGGAAGAACCCTGATAGAGCTCCTATTCCAATCCCATTAGTCTGTAGATAAGAAAAGCAAGGCCCACAGAGACACAGTGACCTGGCATAGATGGCATGGCTGAGGCTGAGCTTTGTTCTGCCATTCCTAGTGCATACTCTAGGGCAACTCATGTCACCTAGTTGTGACTCAGTTTCCTTTCTACCAAGTGAAGGCTATGATCTCTTCCTTATGAAGTTGTTTGGAGGAGCTCATAAAATAATGTATTTTATGTGAATAATGTATTTCATATGAGTAATGTAATGAACTATAAATCTTTTTCCTTAAAAAAAAAAAGTTATACAAATATCAGAGCACAGAGGACAAAAGCCTTTTACAGAGGGGCAAATTATTTAGGGCACTGCTTGCACCACACAGCTTTGTGAAGAATCTCGGAGCTAGCCTAGGAGCTCTCAATCAGCGTTGCCAGTTAATGACAATGTTGATTCATTGGGGCTTCTCCAGGAGGGTGAGCAGTAACAAGGTCTTCATGGGGTTGTAGATGTGTACTGGGTAATGTCTGGTAGGCAGGGGCTGGGAAAAAGCATTTATTTAGAGGGATATCACAGAGATAATATTGCAAAGAACTCGTTTGTAAATAAAACTTACTTAAAAATCCATATGCAGTCAGGTATGCTGTTTCAACACCTATAATCCCAAAGCTTGGGGTAGCTGAGGTAGGAGGAGCTCTTGAGGCCAGGAGTTCAAGACAAGAAACATCGAAACCCCATCTCTACAAAAAATAAACAAATTAGCTGGGCGTGGTGGCATGCACCTGTAGTTCTAGCTGGGAGGCTGAGGTGGGAGGATCACTGGAGACCAGGAGTTGGAGGCTGCAGTGGGCTATGATCGCACCATTGCACTCAAGCCTGGGTGACGGAGCCAGAGTCTGTCTCTAAATAAAAATAAAAAATAAAAATCTGACTAGGGCACAATAGCTCACACCTGTAATCCTAGCACTTTGGGAGGCCGAGGCGGGAGGATCACTTGCACTCAGGAGTTTGAGAGCAGCCTGGCCAACATCGCGAAAATCCGTCTCTACTAAAAATACAAAAGTTAGCTGGGTATGGTGGCGCATGCCTGTAATCTCAGCTATTCGAGAGGCTGAGGCAGGAGAATCGATTGAACCCAGGAGGTGGCGGTTGTAGTGAGCTGAGATCACACCACTGCAGTCCAGCCTGGGTGACAGAGTGAGACTCCATCTCAGAAAAAAAAAAAAAACACCTAACTCAATAACTGCAGAAAAGAGGCAACATCAAGCACTTTCAGCGAGCAATGGATATGGTTTGGTACAAACTGAGGCCAGCACTTGCTAAAGTTGGGAAGAGGGAGTCTGGTATGCCAGGGTTTGCCTCCCCTGCAATGTAAGTTTCTTTCTACAGTCCGCAGCCATCTCCTAATCATCTATACGTCTGCCAGTTTGACTCCCTAACTTGCCTTGAACCTTATGCCCTCCTTATGATGTTAACAAACGTCCACTAGGGGTCACTCTGATGTTCTCCTGGAGACAGCACAGGTCGCTGGTTAAAGCAGGGAAGCTTGGCTGGGGATGAGAGGATTGCTTGAGCCCAGGAGTTCGAGACCTGCCTAAATAACATAGGGAGACCCTGTCTCTACAAAAGAATTTTAAAGAATTAAGCCGGGCGCCGTGGCTCACGCCTGTAATCCCAGCACTTTGGGAGACCGAGGTGGACAGATCACCTGAGGCCAGGAGTTCGAAACTAGCCTGGCCAACATGGCAAAATCCTGTCTTCACTAAAAATACAAAACTTAGCTGGATGTGGTGGTGGACGCCTGTAATCCCAGCTCCTTGGAAGGCTGAAGCATGAGAATCTCTTGAACCTGGGAGGCGGAGTTGCAGTGAGCCGACATCGCATCACTGCACTCCAGCCTGGAGTATAAAGTGAGACTCTGTCTCAAAAAAAGAAAAGAAAAGAAAAATTAAAGAATTAATTGGATGTGGTGGCACACACCTATAGTCCCAGCCACATGGGAGGATTGCTTGAGCCTAGGAGGTCAAGACTGCAGTGAGTTGTGATCGTACCACTGCACTCCAGTCTGGGTGACAGAGTAAGACCCCATTTCTTAAAAACAACAACAACAAAGACTAAGGACACTGCTAGGTCTGAACATCAGTCGTGCCTGTTACTAGCTGTGCATCATTGGACAGATTATTTAACTTCTCTGTGCCTCAACTGCCAAATGGGAATAACAATAGGACATACCTCATGAGATTGTTACAAAGATTAAATTAGTTAATGTAATAGGAAAGGCCAGGCACGGTGGCTCACGCCTGTAATCCCAGCACTTGGGAGGACGAGGTGGGAGGATCGCCTGAGGTCAGGAGTTCGAGACCAGCCTGGCCAACATGGTGAAACCCCATCTCTTCTAAAAATACAAAAATTAGCCAGGCATGGTGGTGGGCACCTGTAATCCCAGCTACTCAGGAGCTGAGGCAGAGAATCACTTAAACCCGGGAGGTGGAGGTTACAGTGAGCTGAGATCATGCCACTGCACTCCAGCCTGGGCAACACAGTGAAGACTCCATCTCAAAAAAAAAAAAAAAAAACTTATTAGCCAGGCGTAATGGCATGCACCTGTAGTCCCAGCTACCTGGGATGCTGAGGTGGTCCATCACTTGAGCCTAGGAGGTCAAGGCTGCAGTGAGCTGTGATTGTGCCACTACACTCCAGATTGGGTGACAGAGCAAGACTCTGTCTCAAAAAAAAAAAACATAGCTGAGGTGGGAGGATCTCTTGAGGCCAGGAGTTCAAGACCAGCCTGAGAAACATCAAAACCCCATCTCTACAAAAAACAAATTAGCTGGGCATGGTGGCACCTGTAGTTCCAGGTGGGAGGCTGAGGTGGGAGGATCACTGGAGACCAGGAGTTGGAGGCTGCAGTGAGCAATGATCGCACCACTGTACTCAAGCCTGGTGAGATATATATATATATATATGGAAAACACTTAGATTTGTGCCTGGTGTGTGGTCAGTGATATATAAATGTTGGAAGAGGGAGATAGGAAAGACACACTCCTTGTTCATTGGCAGATAATGAAGAAATATTCCAGGGAGGATGCAAATAAGGAGGTTTAGTCTCCCCCTTCCCACCCACACATCAAATAAAATAAATTATAAGGGAAGTAGCTTCTGTACACCTCTCTGAGCCTGAGGACAGAGCTTCATGATGACACATACTGCAGCAAATCATAAGCCAAAGAATGGAGTTGTTGGCAGTGAATTTACTGTTGGGATATTGCAGATTGATTACAATGTATTAAATAGATTGGATAAGGTCAAGAGGACAGATTGGTATCTAGAAGGCACTGATGGAATTTTCCTCTAGAATGCCAGGAAGGAGCTCTACCCTCACAATACAGGCTTCATGCCTCCTCAACTGTGCAGGGGAGGAGGTCAGAGCAAAGTACTTTCACCAGGAGATAAGAGGATCCATCTTTATCCCTAGCAGCACAGCCTCTCTCTGAGTCCCAGGACAGCAGAACACCCAGGGCCGTGGGTAGGCCTGCTGGGAGAAGATAAAGTATGTGTTAAATGACTGACATTGGGTGGGAACAGGCGCCCCACCTCTGATTGGTGAGTTAGACACAGTCCTGGGCAGGAGACCAAATAAGACTTGGCTTGGCATCGGTCCCATGCTTCAGATGCATCTATCTTTGGTCTTTCAAGTTAAACCCAAAGCAACATCCATCATCTGTGCTTTCTTCACTTTCATGTCCCATTCCTTCCAGGATGCCTTCCTCCTTTTCCTGCCAGGCCCACTCTGGTGGAGTGGAAAAGTCCAATGCTTTGATACCAGGTAAATGCTGTATTTTATCTTGCCTTTTAACACACTCGTTCTTGGTTCATTGTTCAAACATCCATGTCTTTGGCATAGTCAGTCACAAGGATCAGTCTCTAGAGGACATGGATCCTGCCTGTTTGCTTGATTTGGCTTGAAGGTACATCACTCAGCACAATTACTTATTAAAAGGTATTTGATTATAACTGTCAGTGTTGAAAGGAAATTTCCAGACAAGAGCTTCATCTGTTAATGAAGCTGCATCCAGTCTTCTTTTTAATTTTCTTGAGCTCCTTTCAGATAAATTGGAAAACAAATACCCTCAATTAAGACAATTGATATTGCAGGGCGCAGTGGCTCACGCCTGTAATCCCAGCACTTTGGGAGGCCAAGGCGGGTGGATCACGAGGTCAGGAGATCAAGACCATCCTGGCTAACATGGTGAAACCCCGTCTCTACTAAAAATACAAAAAATTAGCCAAGTGTGGTTGTGGGCGCCTGTAGTCCCAGCTACTCGGGAGGCTGAGGCAAGAGAATGGCACGAACCCGGAAGGTGGAGTTTGCAGTGAGCGGAGATAGCATCACTGTACTCCAGCCTGGGTGACAGAGCGAGACTCCATCTCAAAAAAAA